AAAAAGTACACAAAAACACACTTAAATACAAATGAAAACAAAACGTTCGAAATAGGACCTTAAAAGAAACTAAAGCAACAAATACATCACATCCCCTCATCCACCTTTATGTTGGCAAAAAGTTGGCCAACAACAAAAAACAACAACTAAACACATAAGATTACAAATGTGAAGCAAAAAAAAAAAAACATTTAAAACGTAGCGCCAATGATGTTTCACATCGATGATGTTAAAGATGATCTCAAGCGTTGAGGAAAAAACAAATCGAAATAAAAACGAACAGGAAAAAAATATAAGGTGCCTCCTCATCACATCATATACATAGTGGCAGAGAAGCAACCATAACATTCAAAGAAGGCAACCAAGACGTTCGTTTAAACGACAGCCCTTCCTTACTACTGTTGTTTTGGTTGCATTGAATTGCTGCATTTGCCGCATTTCAACATTTGCTTGATCCAATGCATGCAATACGAAAATTAAACGAATGTAGGAAAAAAATTACAGAAGAAAAAAAACTCCATAACAGCCACAAGGGACCCTCAAACTAAAAAAGAAAAAATAGCACAAACAACTTTGAAAAAAGTATTCAGTCATCATCGATTGGTTATAGAACAGATGTTTAAAGGAATTTACAAATTTGATAAATGTCATAATTTCCACGCAATATAATTAAAAAAAATCCAGGCTCACGTTTAAGAGAAATACCTACGGCGAACTCTGATAACGTTAAAATAGCAATAACTGAGATGTTGAGTTCCACAGATTCTCTGATGAAGTTCGATTCTCTCTTTCTGATTCTCCAATAACTAATATATTTTCGAGAGTGAAGAATCTGACAATTGAATCTTGAAATGTCGAATATAAGATTAGATTACCAACTACTGATATGAGTTCCAAAACTGAAACAGTTACAAGGCGAAAACTGAAACAGTTATAAGGCGAAAACTGAAACAGTTACAAGGCGAAAACAGGGTCGAAAAGAATTTTTCTTTGAATAACCTTGCCTTTCTGCTTTTAAGAATTTGAGAATTGCATCTTCCAACGGTGAGCCTTGATCTTCCAACAACAACTGTAAAACGGACTATTTCACGGTGGTACTTTCACACCCACAGACTGAGCTTGAGGCGAGTCATCTTGCAAAGCACACGCAGGTGGAAATTTTTATACATGTTCCACCGATCCATGTACGAGCACTTTGCTCAAGTTCTTATGCTATATAATCTCTTGACCATTGCTGCCCCGCAGCGTAATTTCCCAGATGCAAAAACTTCACTTCTGTTTAAAATCCCGCAGATGAGATGGTCTCTGTTGATTCGGCAACAGCACCTAGAAACGTAAATACGAAGCCATTAAATAAGCCTTGCTCTTACTCACAGAGAACACTCTCTGGTAAATCTGATTTCAATAAGTCACCTTACATCAATCACTTATCAACCCAACATACTTTAAATTTATCCGACACATTCATTCAGAATCCGACACACTCTCTGTAGGTACACAGATGAATGAGGCCCGCATTCCACCCGTTCCGTATTATATACACTTGACACCAATTCACTTCCAACGCTTACAACATCGAACTTGCATTACAGACTTCAGTGTGTTTCAGTCTTTTAACCAACATTTTCTTCCCGCGCATATGGGTTTGAAACCTGCACTCAGAAGGAACCACTCCAATAACAGGACAAAACAAAGTCCGAAACTGCCCTGTGGGCAACCAGTTCCCGTGGTACCAGATTAAATGACTCTCTGGTACAGAGAGCAACCCTTTTCCCCGGATTGCAATTACACCAAGATGGGGGGAAGTTCATCAAGGTAACATGAGGCGGGGATTTTAAGCTTTAAGCTTTCTATCATCGGTGTGATTTGTTCGAAATAATCTCTTAACCCTTAGTCTAGCTCCGATAAATCCCTGATGAGTTAACGCCAGACGCAATATCAAAACATTGGTGAAAACGTTTTAACAAAAGTTATTTTACCAAGGTAGAGGAAGAATCGTTACAAAAACTTCTGTAACACAAATGAGAAATTATCATGATCTAAAAGATCTGGTACTCCCGTCGAAAAAGGAATCACAAACTCGTCCTTATTGTGGAAAGTTATTCTTACTTAAATATTGAAATGTACATATGCAGTAATGATGCTTCAAACAAGTCTGATAATCGAAATTAAAAGCTTCTACTTGAAATTATCCTAATTTGATCAACTTTAAGTTATTATCCCTTCAAATCCCTGATCCATCAAAGCACCATAGAGAACATTCAAACAACATATGTTTGCATGAATATTATTGCATTTTTCCTTCTTTCTCAATCCTCAGTTTTCTTCGTCGTAGTCGTGTTTTTTTTTTCTTTCTTTCCATAATACATTTTGTCTTCCTTGGCTAATTCATACCGTAACGAATACGGAACCAACATTGGAAATTTTAATACACTACTCTCCTCAACGATGTCAGCACCAACAAGTACTATATACCCGGCATCAATACCAAACCCAATTCGACGACAAGAACAAAAAACAGTAAAATAATAAAATTATTCGAACGACCGGCTTTTATGGAGTATCGTATCGTAGCAAGTAGTATCCCCAATATCCACATTCTGTACTGCCTGACTGACAACGAAACAGCAACAACAACAACAACTACACAAACAACTTCACTTCACAGAACTTATGCCGGCAATTATGATGAGAGTGCGCATTCATAATCAAATGGTGTATGAATGTTGAGGGGACATACTCGTCGTAAAGTGAAATGAATAAGAAAAAAATATATAAAACAAAAACAACAACAACAACAGGAACCGCAACTGCAATATTATTCTACAATTTTAGCACTTTAGTCATATCAGATAGTAGTGCATGGAGATATGAATGTATGTTGGAGGGCAAAGTATTCTGAGTTTGGAGGAAACTACAAGTCAGAAACGAGTATGTGAAATTGGTATGATAATGATCATACAAATAAAACTGGGTGAAGTTTGGGAGTGTTATTGGTTTACTTAAGACGACTTGGGTATAACTTATATTTTTTAAGGATTTTTAATAAAATGGCTATACTATAAGAAGTCTTGACCATAGTTTCGACCACAGATTCTGTATGTAGTTTCGAATATTGCTTTACTACAGTTTCATATAAAGTTTGTCGAGTATTTCTTGATTATAGTGCCGACTATAGTCTCTTATATAGTGACGATTATAGTCTAGACTATAGTACCAACGTTAGTGCCGACAATAGTTTCAACTTTAGAGCCGAGTATAATACCGACTATAGTTTCGGTTAGAGTGTAGACTATGGTCGTGACTATAGCGTAGGCTATAGTTTTGACTATAGCGTAGGCTATAGTTTTGACTATAGCGTAGGCTATAGTTTTGACTACAGCGTAGGCTATAGTTATGACTTAAGGCTTGATTATAGTATCGACTAAAGTCAAGACTATATTATCGGCTATTGTTTTGAATAAAGTGACAATTATTGTCTTAACTAGTATCGTCTAAATTGAACTATAGGATCAACTAAAGTTTTGACTGCAATATCCACTTTCCAAGAGGTACTAAAAATGCCTCTAGTCTTGTCAGGACTAAAAACTGGAGTCATTAGACTCTTTGGTGTTATTCTTCGGAGCCTTTTGACTTGGGGTTTGACCAAACAACCATACAATTAAGTTTTACTAGAGTCAGAGAACCGAAGTATTCGACACTTACCGGATACCGAAGTCACTTCGATCTTCAAGTAGTGACTGTGGTTGGTTAAAAGTCTGATATACAAAGAAAGTATTATCTCGGGTTAAGTTCAGTGCTGCTGCTGTGCAACAGGATATATCAGATGAATTAAGAGTTTGTGGAGTTCATCGCCACCCTGCACACCCAAATGTATTTGATGGATAATAGTTTTGTATGATGATTGTTTATTTGGTGATGGATGTACGGTATTCCCATTCAAGGGTTTTCGGTAAATTTTCCTTATTTGTGAAGTTATGTTTAGGGTTTACTTCGCTCATATCAATCTTGTATCCCTTTTGATTAGGAGCGAAGTCTCTGCTTATTGGTGGAGATCGTACTTTGGTTTACCAAATAGGCCATTCCATTCAGCTATGATCTGAAAATTGCTTTGAGATTAGATGGCTCTTGAGTTCTTGAGCTAAGTGCTTGTGCATGGAACGCCGTCAGCCATAAACAAAAATTTTCTACTGCTTTATATCACAAAGAGTCGATAGGTCGGTCGCCTTTGACTCATACTGTGGTTGAAAAAGTTCCACTGTGGAATAGAGCTAGCTAAACGCTAGGTAAAGCACTCAGACATGTAGTTTGAATTATAGTTTGCCTGTAGTACTGACTATGTAGCGCCCAGAGTCTTGACTATAGTTTAGGCTGTAGTTTCAACTTTAGCTTTATGAACTATAGTATCGAGTATGTTTCAATACCAAAATTGCACTACAGTCTTAGTTAGTCTCGACTATAGCATGGAATATAGTGTCGATAATAGCATCGACTTTACCGCCGACTGTATTCTCGATTAAAGTTAGTTAGTTAGTTTGAAAGGAGGATGTATATACATCAAATCTGAAGAAATACACCTAAGCCTCTATCGGGCCTGTTGTGCGCTCCTTAACCAGTGCCTCAGATGGGAAACGAACCGACCACCTCCGGTCTACCAGACTAGACCGGAGGCCACTAAAATTTTGAGTATGTATACAGTTTCGAGCTTAATGTTAACTACATGATTCTTGCTTTACTTGAGATTTTCGTTACGACAATAGCTTAGACTATAGTCTGTGTTATAGTACAGACTCTTGCCTTATCCATAGTCCTGTCTAAATTTCACAATATAGCGCACACTTTTATTAACCAAATTATACGATACTTCACTTCTCCAGACACTCAATTAGTATGAACGACCAATGAAAACAGTTCGAACGAACCGAAATGTTCGAACAAAAGTCATTGAATAAAACATAACACAACACAACTAAAAACCAACATGCACATCAGACAACCACAACAGTTTGCCAGTAAAACTCAAAGTGTTCACAACGCTCACACGGAGTATACAAAACGTGCACATACTGATAATATTTTTAAAAAACGAAAAATTAACGTGTATCTAACAAATGTATTTAAAAACTAATAGATACTAATGCGATAGAGAGATTCTTAGTAGTAATTCGAATGCGTGCGTATTTAAATTTGTTTTTTGTCTTTAGAGGGAAAATGTATATTTTATGACTTGTACTGAAAAAAAACGAAGACGACTACCTGCAAAAAGAGATCATTTTCAATCAAATGATATGCTTGAGGGATTTAAAGAATATCAAAAGTGTGTGTAATATAGAATAGTTTTCGGATTTTACTAAAAAATTTAAGAAGAAAGAGAAAAAAATCAAAGTAAACCAAAATAATGACGATGATAAAGATGATGTATACAATAAAAAGTCTTTGATGTATTTTTACTTGTTCCGTTGGAATGGTTGGAAAAAATATACAAAAATAAATAAAACGAGAAAAAAATTGTATTTTAGTGGTAGAAAAAAAAATTACAAATAAAGAAATAATAACAACACGCAGAGTTCAAAGTGAAATTCGATTGTTTATCTATGAAATTAAACAACTTAAATAAGAAAATAAAAAGAAAAGATCGAAAAATCTTTTAACAGCAACGGGGTTAATGTGTTTACTTTAAATTAACAAAAAAAACAACAACAATAACGGCAAGATCGAAAAGAAATATTGTTGTTTGAAGAAGAAAAAAATAAAAAGAAAATTTAAGTTAATGATATTGAAGATGATCTTCAAAGTGAAATTTTTATAAAAATAAATAATAAAAAAGAAAATTATAAATTTGAAAAGAAACCAGAATTTTGCATTAAACAGCTGTTTATGGTTATTTGTGTAGCCAAATAAATAGACCTTTAAAAACAGCTGTTTTTGGCTAATAACAGAAATAAACATCATGTTTTCTGTAAAAGCTTTAATGGCGTTCTTGGCGGCTTTAAGCTTTATAAGTTTAAGCCAAGGATTAATAGCAGCCTCTTCAGCTGGTACGCTCAACTCACAAACAACAAATGGATTACAATGTCAGCTGATTAGCGTTACAGCCTGCCAGGGTTTGGGTTATAATATGACCGCTTTACCCAACTTAGCCGGACATACCAATCAATTGGAAGCTGAACTTAGGGTGGGTATTTTTTTTTTTTTTTATTTATTTCTCTTTATAAATTATGAACTTAGGTCATCAAAACTTATTTTCTTTGAGAACTTTTAGTTTGTTGAAAAAAATGATCTCATATAAATTAATTTTAAAAATTAGCACGCTTGCGTGCACGCACATGAAAATGTTCCCATTTACATTGTTAACGAATTTTTTTTTAGTCTAAAAACAATACTGTCAGTTTTATAACCTCCTCCTTTTTTTAGAGAGTATTACACAAAAAGTATAAAACTTTTTGCTTGAATAATTTTCTCTAGCTAGGGTTTATGACTTGACTCGTTTGAGTGACTGACTGCCTATTCCTAGTCGAGTTGGTATCAAAAATAAATGCGGCTTTTAATGAGAAAACCAACCACACACATTAGTTTTCTGGCCTCAAAAAGTTGATTTTTTATGTATTTTTTCGAAATTTAGATCTCTGGCTTTAAGATAAGCCTTACTTTAGTTTGTACAAGTTTGCGTTTGTTATTTTTTGTATCTGTTAAGGCAATAAAAATAATTCTTAGAAGTTACGTGTTTTGTGATGTTTATTACACATTTTTTGTTTCTTTCGATTGTGTGTTATATTTCGCACAACATTTTACTACTAAAAGCCACACTCACTCACTCATCATAATCATCATCATAATGTTGGTTGGATTATTTTGACTGCCAACAGGGAAAGAAGAATGGTTAGGTTGTGTTCTGTGATCTTTATAGCAGTTTTGATCGGTGTTGTATATGTTATTATAAAGTGTGTGTTGAAAGTGTTTCATGTAAAAAACGTGTGTGGTTTGTTTTTTAAGAAGTGATATTTCATAATTTTGTATTAAGACAGAAAATTTGAAGAAATTTGATTAAAAAGCTTCAAAATTATTTAAAATTTTAAAGAATTGAAATATTTATCTCTTCAAAAAGTTCTATTAAACCCAACTAGCGGTGATCTAAATAAGCTTTAACATAATCTCTTCACGTTGCCAACTGTTGGACAAACTTCACAGAAACACTTGATAGATATCCCACTTGCATCCCATAATGGGACTATAAAAATCTTAAAGGAAATTGTATAAACTTTCTTCTGAGCAAAGAAAAGTTTTTTGAAAAAAAAAAATAAAAAAATAATAAATTTTTTTTTTAATTTATTATTATTTTTTTTTGAGAAATAATGAAGAAATGTTTATCTGAACACCTTTGGACTATTTTTTCTAGGACCAATATGACCAAAATGTTCAACTTTGACCCGCTCTAAGTTAGGCAGTTCTTGACCGATAGAGCTGACCGATTGAGCCTAGCTTACTATCCAATAGTACTAACCTTGGTGCAAATTTTATCCAAAACGATTTTTTGAGTTGGTTCACTTAACACGAAATTGCCCTTATTTGAAGTCATGTATTAGATGCAGTAGTTTTTTAGTAACAGAGTTTAAACTAAATTTACTTTAAACTTTCACAAACTTTAATTTAAACCATCTAGAAATCAGATGTTTTCCTTAAGAAATTTTTTTCATTTCAGTAGAGATTAGTGTCCTAATAGTTTTAAAGAGAAAAAGTTTAGTTAAACTTTAAAAATGAAAAAAAGCTTAAAAAATTCAAACGTAGAATGAAGGGATCAGGTTAAACTTAAATGTTTTCAAAATCAGAAGCCTGATTAAAGTCGAAAGATTATGCTTTGTTAAGCATAGTTTAACTAAACTTTAAAGAGTTTAAACTAAAGTGTTAAAGCAAAATAAATCCAAAAATTAAAAGTGTTTAGGAAAACAGCTTTAAGACGAAAGATTAATTTCATTCAAAGTTTAACTTAAAAAGCCTTAAGCTTAGTTTAACAAAAACTCTTACACTAAACAAAAACCATAGTTTAAGAGTAGAGATCAAATAGTAAAGAGTAGAGATTAAGAGGAGAAATACCCATATTGAAAATTAATTCATTTATCGGCAATCAGTTTAATTAAGGCTCTTTTAAGGCTCTTTTTTAAAGTTAAAGACATGTAAGCTCAGATTGAATAAACTTTGAAAGAGTTCAAAAGTGGAGTTAGAAAGTGAAACTTCAAATTAACTTAATTGTAAACATTATAGTTTTAAAGCCAAAAGATTTGTTTTTATCTTATTCATTAACAAATAAGCTTAGTTTAACTAAACTTTAAAAGTAAATAAACAAAAGGCGGAAAAACAAACCTAAATTAAATAAAGCCCAATTTCAAAACCAAAATTCTGCTTAAAGAAAAACTTTAAAAGTTTAGTTTTAAAGTTAAATAAACCTAGTTTAACTAAACTCTATTACAGAACAACGATTCCAAAGTTTAACATAAAAGAAAAATTAACATAAACCTAAAAGAATCATTAACCCTCAGTTTGAAGTCAACAGATAATTTGTAAACAAAAGTTACTTTAAAGGCAAATAGGCTTAGTTTAACTAAACTTTCTTATTAAAGGAGAGTTTAATGCAAAATATAAGAAATTAGGTTTAAACTAGTTAGCTTAAAGCAGTGATAGGCAGAGAGTAGAAATGTGTTATCTAGCTGATTTTGTTTCAAGAGTGTAGGAAAGCTCTGTGTGTATTGATGGCTTAAGGACAAAATATTAGCTTTAATTCGAAGGCATTAAACATAGATTATTTTTTATATAAAGTTTAACTATAAAGGCAAAGACTAAAACCTGTTAAAAATCAAAGCTTTACTTAATACTCAAAAGTTTAATTTTAAAGACAAATAAGTTTATTTAAACTATTTTGTAAAAGATAAATATTTAATCATATTAAACACTTACCCCCTTATCCATTTCTCTCATTTACTAAAGAAAAAATCTGAAAAGAAAACAAAAATTTTATTATCACTTAATTCTTTTTCGCTCAAAAACAATAAAAATTCCTAAAAAAAATTATTAAAAATCATTAAAATAAAATGGGCGTAAATTTAATTGCTTTACCACGAAAAAAATACTTTGCATTTTTAAAATGTTAACAAAAATTTCAAATAAAAACATCAAACAAAAATGTATATTTATGAAATTCCCCTATCCTTTGATTGCCCTAAACAAAATAGGGGTTCATTGTACTTAATTTTTGGGGAATTTTAGTTAAGAAATTCCTTATCAATAAAAAACATTAGAAAATGAACATTTTTTTTTTGTTTGAAAAACGTAATAGTTAGAAAAGTATTTTTTAATTACAAAAATGCAAACAATTGATAGTTTTTGATGACAACAAGTACCCACTTCAGATTCAAATATAAAGAATTTTAAATAAAATTGTTATCACTGTTTGGAGTAAAACTAATAGCAGAACAACAATTTAATTGATTTTCAATGTAATAACGGGGAACAAACAGAACGAACAAAAATTTCTGTTTATTTTACAGAAAGTGATAAAGAAAAACATATGGCTGATAGGGCGTTTATATATGTACATTAGGAGGACAACAGTAGGGTGATTTTAAAAAGAAAATAATTTCTTATGGTTAAATAAATATTTGTTTACTTGAAAATAATTTTTATAATTAAATCTTTTTAAAGCTTTGAAATCTATAAATATTTGTTATTTGATTTGTTTTCTCTTGCAAAGCTAAATATTTGATTGTTTTTATAAAATTTTATTTGAGACAAATAAATATTTATGTTAAAGTCCAAGTTTTTTGGTTACTGCAACTAAAACACTCAATTAAAGCTATTTATACTTTTAAAATGTAACTAACTTAAACAAAATTTTGGAAATATTGAAAAATTTTAGTGAAAAGATGGAATTAATAAAAGATTTCTATTAAAAATTATATTTTATTTAGTTGTCTTTACAATATTTTATTGAGACAAACTAATTTTTAAGTTAAAATTAAATAATTTTGTAGTAACAACTAAAATTTTTTTATTTTTATAAAAAGCTTTTTAAATTTGTAGCAACAACTAATAACTGTTTATTTTTATAAAAAGCTTTTTACTTCAGTAGTTTCAACAACATTTTTATTGAGATAAACATAGTTTTTGTTAGCTACAACCATTGTTTCATTAAAATAATTTTTCAAAATGTTACAAAATTATTCTTTTTATTATAAATTGAATCTTAATATTATCTTAATTAAATATTTATCAAAAAATATTAATACATTTTTAAACTAAATGAAAATTATTAAATATTAAACCTGCAAAAACTAGCTCAAGTTCACAATATTTAAAAATAAATTTTCATAATTATCTTTTAAAATTTCTGCTATCTTTTACTTAAAAAAAATTAAATAAATATAAAAAACTTATCTTCTTTTCATTGAAGAATTTTTTTTTAAATCAGCGAATTTTTTAATTTGTTTAATTTTTGTAATGATAAAGAAATGTTTTTTTTTTTTTTGATTATTATTTTCAACTAAATATTTTGTTATTAGTTTCTGTCTAAAGGCAGGGGTTTTTTGTTCATATTACCAAATTTGTTTATAATACCCCCGCGTTAGCATGTAAAAGATTGATGATGGCTTTAAGTCAAGAAACTCCAACCACAATAGACACCCGTACATTTTTACACCTTTCAAAACTATTCAGTTGTATTAGAAAATTTAGTTCTTTTGTTATCAGCTGAATTTTAACAGACATTTTCAACGTTAAGTTTTCATTATTTTTTATATGAAATTTGATTGTCATTAATTTTTGGGGGATTATGATTTATCATTTCACACTTTAAAGGTATTTTGAAATGAAGTATATGATTTTTTATTAAAAAAGCGACCATGGAAGGAAATTTTCAATAATTTTTCACACTTTATGATTAAAAGTAATTATGAGTATTATTTTTTGAATTTCTTTTTTACTTAAGCTTTTAAATTTACATTATTTACCTATAGTTGACATGATGTAAATAATGTATTACTTAACATAATAACGACAAATTTACATTAGTTTTGTAATTAATTGGGAAATAATAAGTATTTTACATATTTTACTTGGTGTAAAATAAATGTAAACAACTGTATTTCTGTAATTTCAAGCACTTTTCATGATATTTTAGTTATTTAAATAAAAATTTACATTATTTACCTATTGTTGACATGATATAAATAATGTAAAAATGTATCAATTAACATAATAATCCAAATTTACATTAGTTTTGCAATTAATTGCTAAATAATAAGTATTTTACATATTTTACATGGTGTAAAATAAATGTAAACAATTGTATTTTTGTTATTTTAAACACTTTTCACGATATTTTAGTTATTTTAATCAAAATTTACAGTATTTACCTATTGTTGACATTGTGTAAATAATGTAAAAATTTATCACTTAACATAATAACGAAAAAATTACATTAGTTTTGTAATTAATTGATAATTAATTGGTAAATACTAAGTATTTTACATATTTTATTTGGTGTAAAATAATTGTAAACAATTGTATTTTCGTTATTTTAAGCACGTTTCATGATATTTTTGTTATTTAAGTTTTATTACACATTATTTACCCATTGTTGACATGATGTAAATAATGTAAAATATGTAAATTAACATAATATTTACAAATTTAACTTAGTTTTTAGCAATTTTGTATAGAAAATATGAAGTATTTGCCATATTTTACATGGTGTAAATAAAATGTAAATAATGTAAACAATTGCATTTAATTAGTTTGGAGTATTTTTTTGATAATTTTACTTATTTAAATAAAATTATACATTATTTACCTATTATTGACATGGTGTAAACATTGTAAAAAATCAAAAAATTTTCAACAATTTGCAAAATTTTTTGCGAAATTTAATTTTTTTTCAAATAAATTCAAATTATAAACTTTAAAATTTTTTTTACATAATGTAAAATAATGTAAAAAATGTAAAATGGCTTTCACGTAATTTTAAGAATTTAAATGTCTTTTTAAACAATTGAATTTCATCTCTTTGAAGTATTTCTCTTAATATTTCAGTTATTTTTAATGAAATTATAATTTTTTACCTATTCTTGACATAGTGTAAGCAATGTAAAAAAGTGGTATTTACATGATTTTAAGAATATAAAAGGGGTTTTTTGTTGATAACATGCAAATTTACTTTATTTATATATTGTTGACATGGTGTATATAATGTAAAGTATTAGTTTTTTGCCAAAAACTATTAGAATTTTTTGTAATTTTCTATTTTTAACAAATAAAAACAATTTTTAAATTTGTTTAGCTGTTGTTGACATGATGTAAATAATATAAAGGAAGGGTATTTACCCTGTTATAAGACTTTAAAATTTATATTTTAGTTATAAAAATGGATTTCTTTTTAAATTACGTATTGTTGACATGATGTAAAGTATCTGTATTTTTCGCGAATTAACAAAATTTGCAATAATTTTTAATAAATAAAAGATATTTTTCGTTTTTTTACTTATAGTTGACATTATGTAAACAATGTAGAGGAAGTTGATTTTTTTTTTATAAAAATGGATTTCTACATTATTTACGTTTATATTATAAAAAAAGTAAAGTATATATTACTATTTTCCGAAAATTAACTAAATGTTTAGCAATTTGAAATGTTTAACAAATAAGCTTTAATTATACATTTATTACCTATTCTTGACATAGTGTAAACAATGTAAATAAAGTGGTATTTACACTATTCTTACAATGTAATATGTTATTTTGGCTATTAAAATAAAACGTACATAACTTACATATTGTTGACAATGAACAATTTATTACACGATGTAAACAATGTAAGAAATGGTTAGTGTTCACATTATTTTAAAAATTAACCACAATTTAGCATTACCAAACTTTCTTTGTGTTCATTATTAATTATTAATGTAATGTAATTATTCTTGAAAAAAACTCCTTTAAATAACACAATTACCTAAACTGAGATACAAAAACTAAACCAAAATAAGTCCATTAACACCTTGTAGTATATCAACCACTGACATGTTTCTTTACAACACAGCTTGGGCTGCCGATTTCTTAACATTACATTTCTCTTACAACTTAACACTCATCTCTCATCATTTACCGGTTTTAGTAGTCATTCATTGTTAACAATTTACATTATGAAAAAGACCTCCTCTCGGTGGGTATTAACAAAAAGGTTTCATTACGTATTAAATGGAAAATAATAAAACTAAAAGAAAGACAGACAGACTAACATTTGATGTCAAATAAACATGATTTTCTTCTTTTCAACTACAAAAAGAATCTTTTAAGAAAAAATTTTTTAAAAATAAAATATGCTGAGTTTTAAATGTATATTTTGCATTTGTGCTGTGTCTGTCTGTCTAACCGGCTGTTTTTCTTTTATTTTTTTCTATTTTGTATCTTTTGTCCAATGTTAGATGTGCTGCCGCTCGTTGTCTGCTGCTGCTGCAGTGGCTGCTGCTTTTAACCATAAAAATGCATTTTAGGAATGCCCTTTTTCAGTTCTTTCTTATTTTTTAAAAGCATTTGTGGTTGTTGTTGTTTTTCTTCTTTAATGTTGTTTGTAACATTGTTCACATTAAAAATTTACAAAAGCCATTAATTCTTTGACTTGAAAAGAAAACGAATGAACGAACGAAAAAAAAGAGCACAGTCAGGGTTTGTAAGCCGTTCAGTCGGTCGTTTTAGTCTTGCTTAGTGGTAGTTGTTGTTGTTTTTTATTGTAATTTCTTAGTTCGTTTTTTAGTGGTGTTAACGCCTTTTATTTCACATTTTCTATATAGTTTTTCGGTTTTATTTTTGTATATCTACGAGGGTACGGTGTTGTAAAGTCAATGGCGTCTGCTTTACATTTTAAGGTGACCAGGGAACGATTTGCAATAAGAACCTAAATGTTTTACTTGGATTTTACTTCATTTTACAATTGTTGACATGATG